GACCAACAATGACATGACTGAGAGGATATCATCCCCTTTATTTTTACACCGATCTCTTCTCATAACTAGACATCACCTAGAACACCTTTACTTGTAAAAGTTTTCTACAATTGCAAAGGATCAATCTAGATTCTTTAGCGCGTTAAGATTAGAACTAACTTTTTCTAGCCTTAATAGATATTTGTTTCTAACACTTAGAAAATCAAGGATCGTTTCGACATCCTTAAATATTTCTGAAAGATTCTTTATTCTTAGGGGCTTCGCAGAATGAGTCTCGGATTAATTTCCTTGACTACTTTGAGCATCGTCTATTCTAGACTTGATCAAAGTGGGGGCTAACTGTAGACACCTACTTTTGGCCTGTTGTCCCGAAAGGAAGTGTGATAATGTTACAAAAACCCGCTCGTTGTTCAGGCTAGATCAAAGTTGAAGTGTTTGTGGACTACGAAAAGAATTATGAAGTAAGTTAAAACCCAAATTTGAGACCAAGTTATCTTAAAGCCTTGTTCGATTAATAATTAGTCCTAAAACGTGTCCATACATGTTTAAACTTGATTTAACGAACCCAAATGCGTCAAATGCAATGATTGGATCCAACGGATCTTACATTGTTGAAAACCGAGCCAAAAAGATAAACCAACCATCAAATTTCCGTGCATAGACTATACAGATGGATAGCCCTTTCAAAGAGTTTTTCAATGGTATATTATAAGCCCAATTCCGAGTGAAAATAGTATAGTGCACCCGGGTGCACCATGCGCATGATGCACTCGGAAAGAACATTAGGTATATTTTAAAGAACATGGGAAAAAAAAAAAGAACATACTAGCGTTGGAAAAAGAACATGCTAGTGTTTGAAAAAGAACATGCATACTAGTGTTTGAAAAAGAACATCTTGTGTTTGACAAAAGAACATGTTTGTGTTTGACAAACATATACATGTTTGATAACATGTTTTTCAATAATACAAAATATGTTATTTTTGGTTCGTATATTCTTTGAACTTGGCTCGTATTTTTTATTTTTATTTTTTTTTTTTGAAAAATGGCTCGTATGCTCTTTAAGGTAATGAATTCTTTAATGTATGTTCTTTAACTTATGTTCTTTAACGCATGTTCTTTAACTTATGTTCTTGTATGTTATTTTAAATTTTGAATTTTGAAATTTAATTTTAAAATGAAATCTTGAATTATTTTTAGTTGAAAATAATTTAGAGAGAGAAAAATTAAATTATTATGGAAAGTTAAATTTTTGGAGAGAGAAAAAACTATTTTTGGGAAACTGAAATCTTTGGTAGAGAATTTTTACGTTAATGTGTTATTTTTCATGAAATTTAATAAAGTTTTTATCATGTTCTTTGTGTAATGTCTTTATGTTCTTTAGTAATGCATGTTCTTTGTTAAAAACAAACATGTTCTTTTTCAAGAAACTAAATGTTCTTTTTCATACACCTAATGTTCTTTCCGCCTTTTTTTTTAACCGGGTGCACCAACCATACATTAAATTCCGAGCTAAAACGAAGAAGTTATGATCAACACTAAATAAGGCCCTAAACTGACACCCTTACACTCCAACGACCATAACTTTTTATCCATAATAGATTTTAACCTAATTCTAACGTCATTGAAAAGTGGACATTCAGAGATTTCCTATGATATCTCACACGCCTTAATCCAACTTTACAATCAAAAGTTATGGAAGTTTTAAAAACGCGTTTTCGTATAAGGCAAGCCGTATCCCAACGCAACTCAGTGAATTGCGCGCGCCTGCCGGGCGCGACTCATTGAGATGCACGCGGCACCCAGCGCAACTCAAAGAGTTGCGTGCACCACCTGACGTCGTGGCTCTAAAACCCTAAACCTATATTCCTGCGCCTATAAATAGGGGTTTTCGTTCAGCACTAAACGGACAGAAAAATCAGAATTCTAAACCCTAAATTCTGAAATCTCTAATCTCACAAATCCTCTTACTATCATACTACTTTTTCCTCTTTCTTCCCAACCACTCTTCAACCCTAATCCATCTATTGAAGCTCTTGGAGATACGAAGAAGAAAGAAAGCCCATAAACGCATAAGACGGAGATTTAGCATAAAAGAAGAACGGTTAGTTTCCTGTGCACTTAGATACATCACTTTTCTTTTATTGTTTAAATAACTTTAATTGATTAATTAGTGTTGTTTGATCCCTTTAAACAAATTTTAAATTAATTAATTCACATAGTAGTCTTTCGTCAATCAAGACTAGAATTTGATAATTAATTGTTGTTTTATCACATAAGACAAGGCGAATATTGTTTATTTCTTGTTCTTTTCAAGAATTTGATTAAATAAGAATAACGACTTTTGCAATGTAATTCCTACAAGATTAACGTGTGTAAATAAAATCAACTAACTTAGCTTTAAGGTATCCAGTGCATATGTTGTTTGGTGATAAAATTGTGAAAAAGGAAGAGCTAGTAGAGGCCGCACTAGCTAGGGCTAGAATAACGATTCCTCTTTAAAATGAACGATATTTTAGTACCCTTAGCTCGCTCCCGAACTCATCTCTGGTACACGTAGACCAATTTGGGCATGGGTAAACTTACGATTCGTGCTAATTATCCCTTGAACTCTACTTGGAGAAAGGTATGAACGAGGTTTATGAGTTTTCCTAAAACTCATTGGCGACTCCTACATGTTTTTTACGAAAAAGCGTGATGATAGAATCAATTCTAATTCAAGGTCCCCAAACAGTTAGGAATTCAAATCCTAATACACCCTAACTAGTGTAAAGTCTTAGGCCTAAAGGATCGTGGGCATTTAAGGAGAAGGATCCCCTACGATGAGAAATCTTGGCCCTATATTTTTAACGTTCAAGCTTTTCCGGTCATTCAATTAACTTTAGTTTTTATTGAGAAACTAAAGTAAAAAATAAAAAAAACAAAAAGACTAAAGTCAATTGGAAACCGTTTTTAATAAGAAATGAAAAAAAAAAAACAAACAAACAAAACAGTTTCCTTGATTACGCAAAAATTCTGAACTTTGCCATTGATGCATACTTTTGCAATTTCTAATTAAGTTCAAATGATTCTCCCATCTCCATTATACTTTATCAACAATAGATCTATTTACGCATTTTATATTACATACAAGGCCCATAATTTTTGTATCAAATTTATCAAAAAATGAATCATCATCCATTAAAGAAAACCAGATAAAGGGAGGAAAAAAAATAAGAAGATGATCTTGTAAAAAAAAAACAAAAAGATGATAATAAAAATAATTTTCAAGAAACCAATCAATTTTGACATTAAAGATGAAAAAAGGAAAAATTTCTTCGACCAAATTTTCAGGTATTAAAAGTTGAATTTTTAATTTTTTTTTTTTTTTTGTTGATAACCGTATTTTAAAGTAAATGGATAGATATGATGAATTTTACGAGTGGACCCACTCGGTAGATATTGTTGGGTCCACTAGGTAAAAGAAATTGAAGGAGAGAAAATATGAAATTAATATTGTTAAGTCTACTAGGTAAGAGAAATTAATTAGAGGGTTCTGGTTTACTTAATTACAAATCCTTATAATGGCCACAATTTTATTATAACCATTTGAAAATTGTCTTCTTTCAGTTTTTGTGGTTAAAAAAGATAAAAAATAAAAAACTTCTTTTAAGTGATCCACTCACGTGCACTGTTGAATTGATACAATGCAAAGAGAACAGGTTAGAAGCACATAATGAATCCATCGACCTCAAATTCTTAAACAATTGCTTTAAGCCTTTAACAATATTTCGGGAGATTTCTTTTCCTTTTACAACAAGTAAACCATCTACGCCTTTAACTAAAGTCTTTAAACCCAAACACCTCTCCGACCTGGAATTTAAAAGAACAAGTTCATACTCGTATCGCTCTAAACCTTGTATACTTTTTCTGTCTCTTTTTGTTTGTCTTTTTTTTTAAAAATTATTATTTTAACTAGTGAGAAACTATATGTATAATACTTCATATTTTCTTTAATTTTTCTACTCATTTGTAACATTTCAATTGCGTACATTATTCATATACTTAACTTCAATTATATTTTGTGATGTATAAAATCTAATATATATATATAAAGGGGAGTTTTTTCCCGAGTTTTTAGAGAGCCACGTAGGATTTTATTTTCTCGGCGCACCATGTAGGATTATAAATCTTAGTAGTAGCCAATTAAATAAGAGATTATTAATTTCTTTTAGAATTAAATAATTCAAATGCCACGTAAGCAAAATTGGCGAATGAGATTTTTAAGTTTAAATTAATTAAATATTAAATAATATCTTTTAATATTAGGAATTTTATCTAAATATATAACAAATTTTAGCTCATAAATACAAAAAAAAAAAAAAAAAAATCAAATAAACCGTGCATTGCACGGGCTTCATCTAGTTAATAAATAATATTGTGATATAGGATCTCGATAGATTTATCTCAATATCTATTTTGTTAATTTTTTAGAAAATATAAGTTTTACAAAATATATTTAAAAATGTGCACAGTTGAAGATGTGCATCGACAAAAATATTGTAAGTAAAATAAATAAAGTAAATAATTGTTAAATATAAGAATAAATATTGTAATGTGGTACCCTATTAGATTCATCTCAATTTATAATTTTAAAATGCCATTTGTAAGAAAAAATGCACGGTATATTTTTATAATACAAAGTTAATATATTGATTCTCAAAGACTTGCTCCAAAAAAAAAAATTAATTTTAATTTTTTTTATTTTATTTTTTTGAAAGAATGCTCCAAAAAGTATGTAAAAAGGCAAATAGGACAAATAAAAATGATCATAAGATTCTAGGAAGCACATAGGAAGCTTATAATATAACTATGTACATAATACGAAGTATTAGACATTAAATAAGCATTATTGAAAAAAGTAATTTATGACATAAATAAAATTAAAGATTTGGAATACTATACATATATTATAACCCATCACGTTGATTACTTACCACAAAACCCAAAATGCATGCATGCATGAAATAAACATAGGAGTATAATTAAAGAAAATAAATTGATAGAGAAATAAGATGGACTAAAAACATAACATGACTAATTGAATCCATTGTAATAAATCGCTGAAAAACAAAATTGTCAAGGCAAGCTAGCTACTAAACTCCAAAATTCTTGTGTAACCCTTATTCTGTCTTCTTACGTCCAAAATTTTTGAACAAGCAAAGAAAAGAATTCCTCCCCCACATTATTATATATACTCCACCTCCCCCTCTATACTTTCTCCCTTCCTTCCCTCACTCCTTTACCTCTAACATCACCCATCTTTTTTTTCTCTCTCTAATTTTCTCTTTCATTTCATTTTTAATTAAATGAAGCTATTTGGTTATACAATAAGTATCATTTATGTGATTTTCTTCTCTTTGTCCGTTTTAGGTAATTTTATTTCCCTATCATGCAACTCTTGTTATTTTTTTTCTTTTATTAGATGTCAGGTAAGTATTAACCAATCAACTGTTTGTTGTTAATTGTTTCAGCATTATCTATTGAGTCTTTGGGAATAAACTACGGACAAGTTGGTAACAACCTACCCCCACCGTCGACAGTTTTATCCCTAATGACCTCAGTGAGGCTAACAAAGGCAAGAATCTACGACACGAACCCACAAATCTTAACGACGTTCGCCAACTCGGGGGTGGAACTTATTGTAACCGTGGAGAATGAAAAGTTAGCCACCCTTATGAGCCCCCAAGCAGCCCTTCAATGGGTGACTACTCGTATTAAACCCTACTATCCGGCTACGAATATCACCGGTATATCGGTTGGTAACGAAGTTTTTACGGACGAGGACACATCCTTAACCAACTACGTTGTACCGGCAATGGTTAGTGTACACGGTGCCTTAGCTCAACTCGGCCTCTCAAACATCCAAGTATTCTCCCCTACCTCAGCTGGAGTCCTAGCAGAGTCCTACCCGCCATCAGCCGGATCGTTCAAACCCGAATTAACCGGGGTCATCACCCAATTTTTACGGTTCTTGCACAATACTAAGTCACCCTTTTGGGTTAATGCATACCCATATTTCGCCTACAAGGACGATCCAACCAAGATCCAACTCGACTATGTTTTATTCAACCCAAACCCCGGCATGATGGACCCTAACACAAATCTCCATTACGACAACATGCTATACGCTCAAGTTGATGCAGTCATCTTCGCCATGTGGCGACTAGGTTATGGTGGGCTAGACGTACGAGTCTCCGAAACCGGGTGGCCGTCTATGGGCGACCCGAATGAAACAGGTGCCACTGTACAGAATGCTGCAACATACAACAAGAATTTGTTAAAGAGGCAAATGGCTAATGAAGGAACTCCAATAAGGCCTAAAAATAGGCTTGAAGTTTATGTTTTTGCTTTGTTCAATGAAGATATGAAGCCTGGTCCCACCTCTGAAAGACATTATGGGTTATTTCAACCAGATTGTACAATGGCTTATAATGTTGGTTTATCCTCTTTGGCTGCTCATGATCATACTTCTACACCTTCTACATCATCCATTTCTTTGACATCTTCTGCCTCATCCAAGGTAAATGTTTAATTTTATTGATATTTGATTAGAATAATTATAATAATAATGTTTTTATTCATTATTAGAGACATATATTAAGGAAATTTATGTTTCAAGTTACTATTAGTCCTGACAAGATTAAATTTGTGCATTATACTACTTTGTCCCCCTATTGGTTAATTGTTATTTTCTATAAAAGGAAATGTCATAGCCGGTGATGAAAGTTGGTGAAAATATAGATAGAGAAAAATGGAACGATATATAAGTGGGTAGGTTTGAGGTTCAACTTTAAAGAAAAAGTTTCATTAAAAGTTATGTTACATTTAATTATTTAAATATCGAAAGTTATGGTGCAATTAGAAAGGGATAAACGAGACCAGTTAAGTCCTTCATAAATAGTGGTGAAAATGAGAGTTTGTGTACGAAAGGCCATATATTCAAAAACTCAACCAATTCCGTGGCTCATTATGCTAAATAATCATACAATAAAAAAAATGATGGGGGCAAAGTAGTTATGACGCATGGACACACTAATTAAATTTTTATAAATATTATTGTTATTTAAGTTGGTAGTTACAAACATCATTATAGTAGATAAGGTGATGAAATGTGATGCAATTTTTTCTAATTTATCATATTTGTTTGTATTTAACCTTGAATTTTTTTTCCTAAAAGACACATTTATCACCTGCCTACGTTCTATTTTATTTTAATTAAACAGGCAACACGCAAAGGATATCAATGCTTGGTCTATTGGATGTTTGTATATTTGCTGGGTTTTCAAGCTCTAATGAGAAGACCAACATAACTAGTTCATCTTTGCTAGTTTAAGGCAATACTATGTAAATATTTATCTTGTAACAAATTCATTGATCGATCATATAGGCCGTGTACCCGTGTACCATATTAGGTCATAAATTTACGAATGAAATTAGGATGGCGAATTTACAACATACAACTTAGGGGCGTCGAAACAAGAATTTAGATTCAGGATATTAACATTTGAAGATGGCTCATTTGACAAGAAGGTGGTACACAAAGTATGTGATGATCAAGAGATTACAAGATAGTATTTTCAGGAGATTTGCAAATTCATTGGCTTCAAAAAGTTGGTTCTTTTCACCAACTTTTTTCAAGCTCAAGGGAAACAGCTTCAAGTCTTCAAGATACAACCAAAAATTGGAAGAATACACCCCATGTTCTTTTAAACCATAACAACCCGATTATGATGGGTGTCTTGCTTTGGATATGAAACTTTCAACTTCTAAAAACAGTCAAGCACCTTTACTTACTTTATGATGTCTCATTTTTTTTCCTTATCCATATTTCTTCTCCCCTAAATTCTATTTTATTATTCTTGTATGATGTGTGATTCACCCCACATTGAGTCACTAGTCAAACAACCATACTACATAGTTGACTTTCAAGTTACATATATCTATTCAGTCGGTCTAGTATACAACAGGTGTATGAATAAAATTATTGATAATTATTGATGGGTTTAGTCAGTTTGATTCTTGTATAAGTTGGGTCTTTATTGTAATGTTGATTATTGACTTTTTTAAGATTTGGAAAGACTAGACTTGTGTATATATTAAAATTAAAGTAGGGGTTATGTATTTAAGATAGAGCTTATATGTAATATCTTTGCTTTTTTTAGGGGATGGCAAAAGTATAATTATTTTGCTCCGAATGTAATATATTATTGTATTGTATAAAATTATGTTCAATTAAATATATATATAAAGGCAATTCTTTTGTACCAATTAGATTTGAATCAATTTGTATCTTCACTTTTAGGACGTGGAATCCATGACAGTCCATTAAGTAAAACCAAAAAGTTCCAAAGTATGTTCTTTTTCAACGTTATTAGATATTGTAATTCTAAGAATATACTTGATTTTCGTTCAATTAGTAATTAATTACAATTTACAGACACAATAAAGTAAAAAAGTTTTTAAAACTTTGGCGGCCTTAACTTTATTCTTTAATCTGGCTAAATACCGTCAGCATTAGCTAACTTTAATGAAAGAAGCTTTTGATAAACTGCTGCTTTAAGAAAACTTAAGGACCATGAATGAATTCAGCTTCATCATAATATGATGACCATTTATGGATTGGTTTATGTACATCGTCTCACATCAGCCAACGTGGTGCACATGCAACCCAACAATTTAGGTGGACCTAATATGTGTTTTTTTTTTTTACAAAATTAATTATATACTTTAATTTAGAGATTTACTAATTATGTAGTTGATTAATTAATAGGTTAAATGATGTAAGCACTTTTGTTAAGGGTTATTGATAAAAGATGGATAATATTGTTAAGGTTTTGATGATGATGATGATTAAATTTGAAAAAATTAAAGGACTATGATGCTTGGTAAAGGAGTTATTCTTGCTAAGAGGCGGGTGTCAATAATAATCTCGTGTAACTTTCTGAAATGATTCTTAATTCATTGACTTAGAGATAGACACGATTTTACCAATTAAAAATTTTATCATGATACTAAGATTAAGAGTACAATACAAAACCCAATAATTATACTAATCCGCATTTGATGTAATTTTGAATTTCGGGGCCATTAATTTCAGTTGCTTAGCTATTAACAAGTACAGAGTAACATTTTATCTGATGGTATATAGTATTTGGGAAACATGAAGATTTGTGATTAATTTTCAGTTGGGACACTTTAAATGTGGTGATCAGATGAGGATTTTCTTACCTTCCCCCTACTTCTAAAATATCTACCTTGTCTACAAATTAAGTCGGGTTGACCTGTGTGAGGCTACATTCTAATGAAAAGTGTTCTCAATACATGCCATTTCAAAAAAAAAAAAAAAAAAAAAAAAAAAAAAAAAAAAATTATTATTGTAGCTCGGCTATTTGTTTGTTAGTTAAGCTTTAAGGTTGGGATCACATGGTTGGTTACGAGCTTTGGGATGATCACATGATCTCGTAGCTTTATGACTTGGTTTTGGACAATTTACATCTTCATTGTTCATATGCTTTTTGTTAAAAGGTATACAAACCAAACAACAAATCAAGTTGGGGAGGAAAGAAAGAGAACTATTTAGGGTACATTGTTGCTTTAGTGGGTGTAAAAAATTTATGTAGATAACTTTTGTTTGGGTCGATAGGTCATGTTCATGTTACTAAAAAAGATTATAGTATTTAATTTGTTTAGTCAAAGTAAATTAGATGAATAGTGCAAAAAGTAAAGACATTACTTATTTAAACATGGAGGGGATATTTTTTAATATATATATATATATATATATATATATATATATATATATGTAGTGATGTAATTTTAAAAATGCAAAGTGATGAAAAGTATAAACCCTTACCTCTAATCCTTCTCTTTTCGTCTCTCTCTAAAACCCTATCTTCCATTTTGAAATTTAAAATTTAGAGAGGCTTTCATCTGTTTTCTCCAATGAAAAGCCCAATCTTTTTCTTTTTCGTCTTTTTTCTTTACTTTTGTTTGTTTTTAGGTTTGTAATACCTCCTGCTGTCTTAGGAGGAATTTTCTCCCTCTCAAAATATAGTGTTTTTCTTCTTCTATTAGAGGTCCTTTTCTCCTTTTAATAGGTATTTTTTCTTCTCTTTTGTAGGAGGATTTACATTTTTGTTTTGATGTATTGTCGTCAAATCACTTCATTGGTAAGGAATTATGCAGGACAAATTTGTCAATTTTTTGAATATAATTAGACGTATCATCAGATGAAAATCATCCTCATACCTACAACAAATCGTTAAATTGTACGTCTTTCCAAAAGGTTGCATATTCAAAGATGTAAATGAGAGATGTTTCACAGTGTTAGTTCTATTCCACGATCGTATTTTTATATGAAAGATTTCTTTATTTGATATTTTTTAATTTTTCATTTGTGATGCTGTATAATAGTATATTTCTGTAATTTAATCAATTTGATATTTTTACTAGTCTCAAGTTCAATTTAATCAATATGTGGCTATCATCTTTTAATATGTCATTAGTTCATTAATTCAATTTTAATTTGGCTTAATGATTAAAATGACACAAGAATTTATCTATTCAAAAACTGATCTATTTAGAAAACTAATACTCTGTAAGTAGATAATAATGAGACGATATGAAAAATGACACAAAAATAACTAGATAGCGACCCATCAATAAGATAATAGTTCAATAAGTACTCTAGTTTTTAAAAAAAGTTTATTTGAATATTGAATTTGGTAAACTGGACCCATATTAGCAAAACCCAAAAAAGATTTGAATTGGAAATGATCTAATGAATCAACTTTATCTTAATCAAACTAAATCGAACTTAATCGAATCAGAATCAATCGAACCAGAAAATCAACCCGACCCAAAGACATCTAAATCAAAATGAACCAGTCAAAACCCATTTTTGAACCCGATACAAATTTATTTGAACTGAATATAATTAAGTCGGTCAAAAATTGACTTAACTTAAACCGACCTTGATCCAACAGATTTTGGCCCGAAATTGACCCTATCCAAACCAAGATGAGTTAAAAGGTAACCTTAACCCAAAAATACTCGATCCGTTGTGGATCAATCCAAACTTCATCTAGTTACCCAAATTGAAACCCCTACGTGTGTGTATTTTGTTGCTCCTCATGTCCCTTGTTGATTTTAGATACTAGATCTAAAATCTAAAGTACTCCCAAAGCTTCTACAAGATATTATAAAGTTCAAATGAACCTACGTGTGTGTGTATTTTGTTGCTCCTCATGTCCCTTGTTGATTTTAGATACTAGATCTAAAATCTAAAGTACTCCCAAAGCTTCTACAAGATATTATAAAGTTCAAATGAACCAAAACTCTGTAAGCAATATTTTGGGGCTTAAATGTTAAATGGCTTAAAACATGTTATAAGTGGACTGGATCCATAACAATAACAACCTGAATGTTTACGTATTGCCATTTGAGTCATGTAGTTCGTAAGTACTTCTTAATTGAGTGAAGATTATACATATTGCTTGATAATTAAAAGATTGCTATAATAGAAAAATTAATTTATATGAACGGTTATTATTAAAAAATAGAAAAACAATAAGCACTATTAATTTTATATTTAGTCAGAAAATCAATCAAACTAGATGAAACCCGTGCGATGCACGGTTTGTTTGAATTTTTTAAAATAATTTTTTTATATATATTTTTGTGTAAAATTTGTTATATATTTAGATAAAATTTCTGATATCAAAAGATTATATGTTATATTAATTAATTTAAACTGGAAAATCTCATTCGCTAATTTTGCTTACGTGTCATTTAAATTATTTTATTTTAAACGAAATAATCTCATATTTAATTGGCTACCACTAAAAGTTATTATCCTACGTGGCACGCTGAAAAAATTAAATCCTACGTGGCTCTCTAAAAAACTCGGGAAAAAACTCCCATATATATATATATATATATATATACATATATATATATATATACATATATATATATATATATATACATATATATATATATATATACATATATATATATATATATACATATATATATATATATATATATATATATATACATATATATATATATATATATATATAGATTAACATCGATAATCTTGATATATTCATAAAAATATATCAATTATTGTTTGGACCCTTGTGGCCCACGTTCATTAAATACAAAAATTACCAAAATGTCCTTACTTAAACCCTAAACGAGAAAATTCCAGAATCATGCACATCATGCATCCTGAGAAACCCTAACATAGCCCAACAGGGCATAATACGATCCAAAACGACCATATTCCCTATAATTAACCCTAATCAAGTTAGTAAATCCTCTCCTATAAATACTAATCTTCACAGATTAGCGAGGTAATTAATTTTCTCCACTCTCTCTCAACAAACGTTCTCTCTAAACATAATTAACTGACTTGATCATCGGAGTGGCTTTCTCGGGAACACCCCCCGAGGCAATTGACTTTCGTTATTTTGGAGGACTCGGTTAGACCAGGCGAGCAAGTTCTTACACAACTCAGATCCCCTAATTCTTTTGTAGAAACAATGGGCGTTGTTTGTGGGGATTCGTCAAAGAAAGAGTCATGGTTACCACCCGTTAAACCGAGCCTTCTCAGAACGCTGGTGGGCAAAATCGAACCTAAGGGCAATCGCACCCACCCCATCAGCCGCCGAATAACCAACAGTCCAATCGTGAAGATCAAGGTGACAACATAGAGGTTGAAGAACCAGTTGATCAGGGAGATCAACAATATGTGACCAAACAAGATCTAGAAAAGCTAACCAAACATTTCAACACAACTCTCTAAGACACTCTCAAACAATTGACCGAAGCTATTAAAAACAGTACAACCAGGTTGGTCCCTCTCATCGGCCACCGCAAGACCAAGGACGCCAAGCGTCGCGGAACAATCAAAAGGCACAACCCCAAGATGTTCTCCGACGAAGTGGAGGACATAGCCGTAAAGAACAACCTATTGGGGCGGCTAGATCCGTCCATAGTAGATTTGGAAATCATCGTCGATCACCCCAAGATCGGCCCGTCATATCACCTGTCCGCATAGAGGCTAGTCAACACACTACTGCAAGTCGACGCCGGAGGGAAGGTGAACCAGATAATCATGTTAGAGACCCGGATGCTCGAGGGATCATTAACATGAGTAGGGTTATTGAGCAACTAACGCCAAGCCTGTGAAAACAATTAGAATGGGGCACGAAGTCGTAGGAAAAGTCGAAGCCCTAGGTCACCTGAT